AAGCTTTCTTTCCACAATCATCGGTTTATCTAATTCGAGAAAAGATTTTCCGTCGGAGATTCTGATGTTCCAAATATACGGCGAGTGACTCCACAGATACGTACAACCGCTTCTTTTTTCCCCATCCATCTCATGTTAGTTTCCACGCATCGAAATATCGAAATATTTTGCATATAAATATAGCGTCGAAAGCCACAATAAACAGCATGGACGGATAACCCTGATCTAGCACCCGTTCCACCAACACTTACGTTTACAGCGGCGGTGTGTAAATAGATTAAAAAATAATAATCGACAAAATGAAGAGACGAAATATTTATTAATATATATATATATATATATATATATATATATATATATATATATATATATATATATATATAAATATATATATATATGTATGCTGTAGGCATAATTGTTTGTGTATGTATAAATTTCCGACACTAGCGCGCATATAGTTTACTTTGAAGACACGCGGTAGCAGCTGTTCTACGGCCTTCTTAGAAAAACATTCTTTCATTATGCTTCCAGCGCGTGTTGGCACAAGATACGCACAGTCATGTCTGTGTTAAGTGGAATAGTGGATACGTAATTTTGGCTGTGATCGGTTCATTTTTGTTTGGTTATAGGTAATAATAATAATAATGAGGCATTATGTTAGAATTTTTAGGATTTTTCATTACAACGAAGTCATTGGTTCAGTGTTGTTCGGTGACAACGTTTACTGCTATGTCGAATGCTTTGTGTCGTTTTTTTTTTTTTTTGTTTTTTTTTTCTTCCTGTTGTTGTGGAGGACTTAAAACGGGGGTGTTGTTTAGCGGAAAATTTTAAGTCGAAAGACAATGTAGACATTTAATGAATTTCTACTCCAAAGGAAAAAATTACACACACACACAAATACATACATATATATATATATATATATATATATATATATATATATATATATATATATATATATATGAAGGATAATGTTAGAATTTTTATACATGCATAAATCGTAATATGTTGTAGTGAAGACAGTATTGCATATTGAGCGCATGGCTTTTGTGTTGCGTTTAGTTGCAATATTTTATATATATATATATATATATATATATATATATATATATATATATATATATATATATATATATATATATATTTGTGTGTTTATGTTTGTTTTTTAAAAATAATATTCTTACCTTTTTTTACCTTCCCCGTGTCTTTTCGTCGTTCCTTTCTATCTTTCTTTTCCCCCCCAGTTTGTAAATTTTGTAGACGTTTCTTTATTCTTTTTTTTTTTAATGTTGTTTTGTTTTCCGTTGCTTTTTTTCTTCCTCTCTTTCCTTTTCTTTTTCTTTCTTTCTTTTTTTTTTTTCTCTTGCACTTCTTGTTTTTTCTTCCTTTCGCAGTCGTCTTTCTTCTTAAGGTATTATGTATCCGATTCGCGATGGTTTATCCATACACAGCAGTTTACTGGGAATATTCCGGATACAGACCATTCCACAACAGTCTGAATGAGAATAACGCTGAGGGAAGACGTGACATCCTCCTCCTCCTTTTCCTTCTCCTCCCACTCAACCTCCGCCTTCCGCTTTGACTTCATCACCAACTATGGAGATCTTCCCACACTTTCCTCATTCATTCATTCATTCATTCATTCATTCATTCACTCATTTTTTCTTTCTTTTCGAACATTCTATCCACTAAATTTTGTTTCCTGAAAAAATCTTCCTAAGTCTTCCTTGTCTCCCTTGAATAAATCTTATCTTAAAATCTGTTGAACGTGATGCTAAAGCCTCCACCGTTTGTTTGCGTGTCCTAATGTTTACACGAGTGTGAATGTATACGTGTGTACACGCGTGTGGGAAATAAGTACGTCTGTGTTAATCGGTACGCATGTGCAAATGTGTGTACGAATGTGTTTTGTGTACGCGTTTGTTAATGTTAAACGCGTGTGTGAATAAATGCGTGTGTATTTTCAATTAATATTATTAAACCCGATGAAGGGCGAAAGAGAAAAAAAATCATTAAAAAAAAAAAAAAAAAAGAAACGAAAAATAAATAAACAAAAAAAAAAGGAAAGAAAAAAAAGTTCTCCTTCCCTTGAGATTTTTCAGGTTAATCCTAGGAATATATTTCATCTGTCTGTCTGTCTGTCCCTCCGTTCATCTGTCTGTTCGCCTGTCTTTTTTCTCTCTCAGTGTCTCATGGCTTCTCTCTCTCTGTCTATCTATCTATACATACATACATACATACATATATATATATATATATATATATATATATATATACATACATTATATATATATATATATATATATATATATATATATACATACACACACACACACACACACACACATATATATATATATATATATATATATATATATATATGCAAGTTAAATTGAAAAACGACTGACAAAGTGCTGTGGTTAAGTTTTTTTTATATATAATTTCTATATGTTCCTATAATTTTTTCTCTTCAGAACATTATACATATATATATATATATATATATATATATATATATATATATATATATATATAAATGTCCAATTTTTTTTTTCCAAGCGCTTTCGGCTATACTTTTGCCCATTATCAAGAATTCATTTTATTTTACTTTTAACTAAATATATGGATTTTTTTTATATACGTATCTAGAGTTATAGCAATGTTTTATTTTCAAAAAAACGCTCACCACGTGTACAAAAAGTCTAAAAATAATGGAAATATAATTAATAAAAAAGAAAAAGCCAATACTCGATAATATCAATTAGGAACACGGCCACAAAGTGCTGACCGTGTTTGGAAAATAAAACATTCCTATGAGTGTAGATACATACATAAAACAATCCATATATTCTATTAAAAGTAAAATAAAACTCATCAATGATAATGGTTAAAATTATAGCCGAAAGCGCCTGGAAAACATGTGGATAATTTTTATATAATTTGTGCTCCGAAAAAAGATATATGAACACAATAGAAATTATATAAAAAACTTACCAACAGGACCTTGTCAGTCCTTTTCAACGAAACTTGCATAAAAGAACGATTGCTGCCCAACTACTCAATAATATATATATATGTGTGTGTGTGAAAATATATAGAAAATAGGAAGGAACTGGTTAGGTAAATAATCCAAAGTTCCTTAGTATTTTAGTTATTATTTAAAAAAAATAGTGCTCGATACAAAAGTAGAGCATAAATATAATTATATAAAAAATTTCGCTTGAAGATGGAACAGAGCTTATTTTAACTCAATTTAATTTAAATAATTTAAATAATTTAAATAATTATATTGAAGTTTTCGGCTCTTGTTTTGAAACATGGGACTTCTTATGTCGCGATTTGGAATCATATTTTTAAATAAATAATTATATTATATTATATATATATATATATATATATATATATATATATATATATATAATAGGATGGTGAAAGAATTTATTTTTCAGCGCGCCTATGTCGCTACTGAATGTGGCACAAGGCCGAAGTTTAAAGTCGCTTTAACGGCGATACCGTGGTAAAATAGCCCAACCCCCCTCGGCTTTTCCACTTTTGGGCACGCCACAGGCGCTGGTCAATAAACTCACCTCCTTCCCGAAGGTAAGGTACTTCCTGGAGAGAAGGTTCTCTGGAGCTTGGGCTTAAAAACAATGAAAATAATGATATTGATAATAAAACTAATAATATTGGTTTTATATTAGTAGGTGCTTTAACCAAATGATAAAATGAGAAAGATTTAAAAGTTTGAATTCTCGGAATCGCCCGTGTCTTTTCTTTGTGGGACTTTTATTTCCGGGAATTTTTTTGTTTTATCCGAATGTGTCATATTGTCGAAGTGATCTGATAGTTTTGGGCTAGTTTTCGATTAAAGTTGTAGAGGGGTTTGTAGAAGGCTTTCTGTGGAAAATGCATTCTCTGAATAAACCTAAATTCCTGCTTAATCCTAGAATGGGTTAATCTGTTTTAAAAATCTGTTCTTTGTTTTTTATTTTTTTTTTTTTATCTATAGAATTTCTTTCACCGGTTTATTATATCTACATATTATAAGAAATATACGGGGTCTATCTTTCTTTATGTCACACACACACACATATATATATATATGCATACATATTACTTTACGTAGAAAGTACAACTTGGAGTTTCATGTTCCGTACACTCTTAGGGTAATTGATCAAAACAGTGATCGATGTGGCAATACAGAACTATAGCTCTGTATTACCACATTGATCACTCTTTTGTTAACACCAAAAATAAAATTAAATATTTATTTGTAAATTTATATATACGCGTGATCACACGCATGTATGCTTGATTGTACTTATATTTATTTATTTAATTCATATATATATATATATATATATATATATATATATATATATATATATATATATATATATGTGAAAATATATAGAAAATAGGAAGGAACTGGTTAGGTAAATAGTCCAAAGTTCCTTAGTATTTTGTTATTATTTTAAAAAATAGTGCTCGATACAAAAGTAGAGCATAATAAATATAATTATTTATTTAAAATATGATTCAAAATCGAAACTTAATATAAATCATTTAAATTAAATTGAGTTGAATAGGTAGCCGTTCCATCTTCAAGCTTCCAACAAAATTTCGCTTGAAGATGGAAAAAGCCCCGTTTAATTTAATTTAAAGGATTATATTGGAAGTTTTCGGCTCTTGTTTTGGAAACATGAGACCTCTTATGTAGCGATTTGGAATCATATTTTTAAATAAATAATTATATATATATATATATATATATATATATATATAGATAGATAGATAGATAGATAGATAGAATTAATATAAGTAAAAGTGTGTCATTTAGCTGATATTCACATATATATGGTTGCGTGTATATGATTGTGTACATAACAGAGAGAGTACATTGTGTTTAAGTTAATGTTATTAACCCAACTTGAATTGGAACTCGGCTCTCTGATTAACAATTCCGAGCCATTATCCATTACACCACCCGCACATCCAAGCTTACAGCACCTGGTATTCCCAAACAGTTATCCACCTTGGTACTGACCAGGCTCGACGTTGCTTAACTTAGATGATCGAACGGGAATTTCGCTCTGAGATGCGTGTAACAGTTTGTTAATGGATAAATGGTCAGATTTTACAAAACAACGCACCATAAATCTGATTAAAAAAAATGCTGCCTTAATCATAATAGTACTATGTTTTTCTGGAGCCTTCTAGAAATTTATGGAACCTTCTAGAATTTGTATTTTGTTTATTTGTAAGTTTGTATGTTATGCTATAGCTATAAACTGTTAAAAGTAGCAAAAGTAATTAAGTACTATCAACATATATTAGCAAACTGAAAAATAAAACTTCTCAAATATTTTGATTTTTTTTACTCTTATTGTGTATATGTTAAAATCGAATTTTCAGTTTTGGTTGAACTTTTTCAAGAATTAAGAGAAATTAATACCGTTTTCATTACTTTTGATTATGACACAGGAATATAGGGTTATTAGAAAAATGATACAAAATATATCAATAATATTTTCAGTGGCAAAAGTATGAAAAAAATGGATAATGTTCTCGTGTGACGTATTTCGTCCTTTTGATCTTCATCGGAATAAGTTTAAGTTGATTTCATTTAGATTGTTTCTGTTTCCATCACTTTTTTTATTAAATATGCCACATTGTGATAATAGATCTGTCAAGAGACGTTGTAAGGACCATTGCGAGTTATATATATATATATATATATAGAGAGAGAGAGAGAGAGAGAGAGTAAGCTTTCAGTATCATCAGTAAGCTTTTTAAGGCTATAATCAATAAGAAGCTCGTCAAGCACCAAGAAAAGAACAACATCTTCAGCGACGAGTAGTATGGGTTTCGGTCGACCCGATCCACTGCCGATGACATAACTACCATCACTCACAGAATCAGTGAGTCCCTCGACAACAAACACGCCTCGAGGACATATCTCAAAGGCATTTGATAAGGTGTGGCATAAAGGTTTATTACACAAGCTCTCAAGAAGGGTTTTCTTGATCATAAAATCATTCCTAACAGGTAGATCCCCCCCGAAGGTAGATTTTAATGGCATCGCAAAGGGTCACTCCTTGGACCAACCCTCTTTTTGATCTCTATAAATGATCTGCCTAAGAATAAGTTTAAGTAGATTTCATTTTTTTTTTAATTAAATATACCACATTGGGATAATAGATCTGTCAAGAAACATTCTAAGAACCTATGCGGTTTATATATATATATATATATATATGTGTGTGTGTGTGTGTGTGTGTGTGTGTGTGTGTGTGTGTGTGTGCATTTAGGCAGCAAATTGCCTTTTAGGCATGTCTGATTGAATAAATCACAGGCTAATTTTTAATAAAATCCGTTCATACTCATGAATAAGCTGTCGTGTATTGATGTTAAGGGATGAGAGAAATATGCTATAGCTGTTTAAATTTCTTTTATTTTTATTTTTCAAGTACTTTCGATCTTCGTCCAAGATCATCTTCAGGGGTGCAACTAATACAAACCTATATATTGTTCATTAGTACAAATATTTATACAAAGTTATGCGTTGTTATCCATTACCTTAATTTTTTTCATTATGTTTTCAAATGAAAAACGGTTGACAACGTGCTGAGCGTTCCGTAGAACGTGAAAAATTATCTATTATGATATATATATATATATATATATATATATAGTAAACTTTCAGAATCATCAGTAAGCTTTTTGGGAAGAGGACCGTAGTACTAGATAATTATATTAGTACTATGTATTTCTAGTGCCTTCTAGAACTTTATGGAACCTTCTAGAACTTGTTTTTGCTTATCTGTAACTTCGTATGTTATTCTATAGCTATAAAATAGACGTAATAGAGAGATTAATTTGCTGTTTCCCTACAGGAGACATTCAGTATTCATTGTTTTTCTTTTTTTTCATGACGGCTCTCATGGACAATTTTATTTTCAAAATTTGTCATTTGCCGTTGATCGGTTGCCGTGAAAGCTCGCCATCTTGAACCGATACTCGACCGGCCTTGAAACGGGTATTCGGTCAAAATAATGTTTGAAAAGAAGCATGTTTAACCATTTAAACGGTTTCTGTAGCAGATATTACGAGCTTCACGCAGATTTAATGTAGGCACATTGCTTGAATTTTTCTAGCATGGTAACGATCTCAGAACTTCGAGTAGTAATTGAACATTAGTAGATCAGTACGAAGCCTATTAGTTACGCACGCGTTTCAGTTTAACAGCACACAACAAACAGTCCAGTAGCCTTCCGACAGAAATTCGTATATGCACACGTGTGTACCTGATCCTGTGTGCATTTGCGTGTCGTATTAATTTAAATATTAATCCCATTGTTTAAACATTATATAGTAACAATATATATATTAGGGTTATCTTCCCGTATCATAAATGAATGAACATTTTTCAAAAGTAATGAAAAAGTCATTCATTTGTTTTAGTTCTTCAAAAAAGTCACACTGAAACCGAAAATACTTAATAAGGGTAAAAATCAAATTATTTCAAACGTAAGCGATCATGGCCTTCCATTTACTCCTGTCCCTTGTAGCATTTAAAAAGTTTTTTTTTTTTTGTTATTTCTCCCAAACGCTGTTCTGTCATCCACTTGCTCAAGCCCATTAAGTATGTCACGCGTTGCTATCCTCTATCCATCTTTCCCTCTATCTGTCCTGTGAGTATCAGATTTTCCAAGACATCATTCCTCATTACGTATCCCAGAAATTTCAGCTGCCTCTTCCTGATGTTAAGCATAAATTTCCTCTTTGTCTGGATTCCCTCCAAAACCTCGTCGTTGCTTACATGTTCGGCCCATGTTATCCTTGGCATCCTTCTGTAGAACCAGAATTCTGATGTTCGAGTATCTTCATCTTTGAGGAGATTGTCCAGCATTAGCTGCCATACATGAAGGACAGATATCACGTAACAGTTCAGTACTCTTTTCTTTGTTTCCAACGAATTTTTCCGGTCTCGTAATAATCTTCTTAGGTTTTGGAATGCGTCTCTGGCCATCCCAATACGCCAAAGTGTCGCACTTTCTGTCCTCTGTCAGAACACTTCCCAGATATTTAAATTTCTGTACCTGCTTGATTTTAGTGTTCCCGATCTGTAAATTGCATTTTGGGCTCAAGTTTTTGCTGATGACCATGCATTCTGTCTTCTTGTAGTTCATGCTTAGTCCCTTCTTCTCGCTCTCCTTCACTGCCTTCTGTAGGAGGATTTGTAGTTTTCTTTCCGTGTGTGCTATCATCACTGTGTCATCTGCGTATCGTATGTTGTTAGGATTGTGGCCGCCAATGATGAACCCTGGCAGGATTTCCAGTTCTCTCAGAGTGGTTCATTTATGAAACACTGAGAATCGTTCTTCATCTTATATGTAAGATGCTAACCTGCACTAGATTGACTCCTTGCGACATTTTCTGTTGACATCAATTGGAAAGTTTATATTGAATCAATTGGTATGCCTGCTGTTTGGAAAGTTGGACCTCTGTATCGTGCTACATAATCACTAGGCAATTTTTCTCGTCAGAATATGTCTTACATTTTTTCTATGTCTACTATTTGTCCAGGCACTTAATATTGCATCTGGCCTGGTTCACTTCTATGCATGTCGAGGCCGATAAACAAAATAAATCATGTTTAAAATAAACGGAGCGTCTTCTCAAATACGTGTATCCACTAAAAGTAACGTTTGCAGTAATATATATATATATATATATACATTACTTACATTATTCGGACTATTGTCCTCATCTTTGTCGCCATATTTATTACAATGTTTCGGCCGTTGTACGCTCCGGCCTTCTTCAGGTGGTTGGAATGTCGAACTGAACCCTTTATTTCGTTCACTGGGGTAGACTGTTCCAGTTCCACGTGCCATGCTTTAATGGATGTCAGTTATCAGTTATCTCCTGTTAATTCCCCTCTCCAAGTTCTCCACTGCCTTAACAGGGTATTGAACTCACACTCTTTGGGTTCTGTCACCAATGCCTTCATCCTCTGTGCCATGTGTCCTTGACATCTGTGTATGAATTTCTAGGTATTATAAACCTAATGTCTTCAGCAATCATTTTTACCAGTGCTCATATTCCATTTTTGTTGCTGTTATCATTTCATGTTTTTACCAGAGCTCATATTACAACTTTTGTTGTTCTTATTGATTTTCTCTGGCACTCCTTATTACTGGCTCCCATATTGTATTAATTTCTATGCTTGGTCGACTCAAGAGATTTTTGTAGCCTAGCATATGTGCTGATTCCTTAAGTTTACGAATTTTCCACTGGTGTTCCTTGTCTATGATCTCAACCTGATCCCACAGAGGGCGGTGATCTTCCTTCTCTCCCCATATGTGGTCAGCCACGCCTGATTTTTCCACTTCCCCTCGTGTTTCAGCTTTCTGGTGTTCTTGAAGCCTTACCTTAAGCGGATGGCCTGTCTCCACTTTATATTTCTTTCCGCAGCTGCACAGTCTTTAGTCATGTTCTCCTCTGGGGGGTGGTCTTACCCGGGAGGCAATTTTTCTCGTCAGAAACTATCTTACATTTTTTTCTATGTCTTCTATTTGTCCATGCATTGAATATTACTGCCACATCTGGTTTGGTGCTCTTCTATGCAATTTGAGGCCGATAGACGAAATAAATCTTGTTTAAAATAAACGGGGCGTCGACTCAAATACGTGTATCCACTAAAAATAACGTTTGCTGTAATATATATATATATATATATATATATATATATATATATGTAATAAAAAACAATACTCGGGCGGTGTGAAAAAAACCCCAGATAATACAATCTGTAAGTAAAAAATATTAGTATTAATATTAATTAATATGAAACAAACTGGTATCAGGTAAAAAAAAATCAATAAAAAAGAAGAAAAGACTAAAAACATCCGTACTGCTTGAAAATAATCAATCAGCACCGCAATGTCTAGCCGAAAGAAAAAAAAAACACCGGCAGAGTAACTTGTTAAAACGTAAAAGTGTTCAATACACTAAGTAGAGCAAAAAAAAAAAAAAAAAAAAAAAAAGTGCCAGAACCTACCTAGATAAGTTCTGGCTCCT